TTGGAAGAAGAATTTACAAGTCACCACGTAATCTTAGGCCCATTAGAAGTATGATTTAGTCAAGAAAACTTCTTCATGTTATTTTTGTTGTTGTTCATGTAGCACGGCACTATCATATGGACATTATTACATCACAAACTGATTAAATATTTATCTCAGGGTTAAGTTGCCTCTCTTGTGTCCCAATTTGTCAGTGGAACAGCTATTCAGGATTGGGAAAGAGAGTTAATGACAAAAATTTAAAACCATTAAGTAAAAGGCAGTTTCACAGACAATTGCCAAAATTAAGGAAGTCACATACCCAGTATATATTACACCATCTCCTCCCCACTTTACGCATGTAACAGCTAGAGTGTGACCGCTCAGACAAATTACACATTTCCTTAGTGTTACGTCCCATATGCGTGCATCACCATCTTTACTAGAACTCACAGAGCGACGGCTCGGTGAACTCAGATGGACTGGTTCCCAAGATATACCGGTGATCCATTTCTTGTGGCCCTGACATAAAGCAGATTCAATGTCTTAGTGGCACAGAGACTATTCTTGTTATGCATAAGCCACAACAACCAGTTCGACACTTCAAAACCTCACAAATTAATGTCAAAAATGGTAAAGGATGTTAGAAAGCTTCCTCAACAAAAATGGTACACCATTTATCTCTTCCCACAGATGCGAAGCTACACAATAAACTGTACTTACTATGCTAAACTTATGGATATCATCCAAATTAACGCCAACACTGCTCCCACTTATTTTGCCACAAGTATAAAATTAGAAGCAGCATATTTGTGCTTTTATCCACCATTTCATCATCAATATGGAGAGTTATAAACCAAGAAATATTAATAGGAAATGGAGTTCCATGGAATCCTTGCAGGAAGGATTCTCAAACATATAAGTGTAACACCAAATGTCAAAAACTATTTAGTCTGAACAACTTTCCATAAAATAGATTTAGCTCCAAGTTAAATAAAGTCGTAAAAGCAGCAAATTACAATCAACTGAATAAGATACTTTCTAGTCTTATAATTCAATAAGGATCATACAACAAGTGGATTGCCTGATGGCTGCCCGGTCAATGGATCCCAGCATTGGAGTTCCCCAGACTTGCTTCCACTTACAAGATGCTTATTATCAGGTGACCATGCAATACAGAGGACCCAATTCTTGTGCCCTGAGCAAGAAGAACTGTTCATTAAAAGAACAGATAAAAAGGAAACCAAGTAATTTACCACTGCAACAAACTGCTTACTAACATTTTTCCACCCACAATCCACTCCATTGGTGCAATGTTCAGCTTATGCCTCTAGGAAAATTCAACCTATCGCACCTTCCCCCACCCCCCCCCCCCCCCCCCCCGCCCCAAAAAAAATAAAAAATAAAAACAAAAAACCCAATGGTTCTCCAGCTAAGCAAATAGAAAGCAACTATACAGCAAGTAGGCATGCGTATATTTAGATGCCCCCATGATGGGGAAGGGAGCATACAATTAGAAACTTGAAGGACATAAGGAAATAAGAGATTCAGATATTCAACCTTTGCATGTAAACATAGGGGTCTGAGTATTTAGGTCCCACAATCGGACTGTGGTATCTCCTGAACCACTAGCCAGTTGCTTCCCGTCAGGACTAAAGGCTACAGAAAGAACAGCTTCTGAGTGACCTGCAATGACAGAAAAATGAACCTTTAAAAGGGCGTTCAATCTGTACATATCAGACTATTAGGCATAATATAGGCATTGCTTATTAAGAGCAAATTAATTACAACATGTCAAGCAAAGGTCCTCCAGCACTCCATAAGGATTGAAACTATACTCTCCATAATCAACATCCTTCTAACAACATTGCTCTCCTTGATACAATGGCACCCCACCCCACCCCCTCCACCAAAAATAAAAAAAACCGATAGTATGTTATGATATGCCTAAGATCAGCCTAACTGAATCAAGTATACTATGAAAGATGGATAGTGTCCAGCAGTTACCAGAGCTGATGAATAAGAAAGTCAGCCTCATACCAGCAATTGTTGCTGAACAGCGATTTACAGGACGAATTCGGAAAATGGCTTGTGGCTGATAGACTATGGCCAAGACCTTCTCCACCGAAACTGCAATGTCAACCCAAATTAAAAATGAATGACAGATATGCAGTTAGAGACCCGAGGAAGCTCCTTAAAAATATGACGCCTTTGCTTCTTTACTGACCTCTGTTTTTCTGTAAGTAAGATTCAAGAGGGACAACGAGCTCCTGGTCCGATATATAAAAAGTATACGGCAATTTCTCCTCCTGGTTATCCCAAAAGGAGAAAATCCATTAGAGAAAAAGGGAGAAAATTGAAAACCTACCTTGGCCATGGATAAAATTTAGTAAACAAGAACGAAAATATGTAAATCAATCAACAGGAAATTTTTCAGAAAAAAGTTAAGCATTGACGACTAGAGGGCGTTGGCAATAAAACAACAATCTATAAGTTGGGAAGTCAGTGTTTCACTTCACACAAGAGGAAAGGACACGTTTTCAGTTAAAAACATGTTCCCATAAGGAGTAAAACAAAGTAAAATTCTAGGTCTATGCCCACGTATACAATTGCAACAGTGCATCAACACAAGCAAACTGGAAGATCAAATTCAAATCTTACGTTATTGAGGAGCTTATTGACCATCTGTTGAAGTTGCTGAGGGCCAACGTTCTGAGGAAGGTACATGGGAGGACCCAAGGTTGTTCCTTCCGGATCCACCAGTTGGCACATCACGTTGTTTACATTTCGCTGCTCTGCTTCCACCTCCATCTTTCCCACGACAACAATAAAAATTCAATCTTCTCTCTTCGAATCTCTGATAAAAATCGAAGCTTTAATTGATACGACGATACCGGGAGTGCGCAGATGAATTGAGAAGTACGTTTGTGATAGCGAAGGAAGTGAAGTTGGGGGGGTTCTAGGGTTTTAGGCGGGCTTTTGATGACCGCCTGATGCGGTGCGTATTGGTTCACCGTGCTATGGTGGGGACGATGTCTTATGAAGTAACCCAACTGGCAAAATATATAAGCCTTGTGTAAAACAAGAGAGAAGAAAAGCTAAAGAAATATGAATAGAAGACGAGGAAGCACCAGTCAAACTCCCTCCTCAGAGGCCGACCACGATGGGGGGTGATGATACGATGATGCTCTAACTAGGGGTGTCAACGGGTCGGGTCGGGTTTTCATGATACCCGACCCGACCTAAAACAATGCATATGTTTGCTTGGCCCGACCCGAAACAAGACCCGAACATGATATAGCTGCGCGATCGGGTCGGGTCGTGTTCAGGTCGGGTTCGGGTCGGGTTCGTGTTTTAGATTTTTTGCTTGACCACCTACATCTTCTCTTAAGAAGGATACCCCAAAAACAGAACTTGGGTTGTCTTGTTCGCCTGTTCAAACAAAGAAGTACAGAAGTAGATGATGACAAACCATCTACCCATCCACTGAGCTAACTGAGCTAACAAACCATCCTTCAGAGACGCATCTACCCCTCCATTCTCAAACCTCCATAACTTCCTGTTTGCGCTTCTACAAGTATAATCCAGATCAGGGGAAACCTGCCTCGATGAAACTGGTGACTCGAAGAGGGAATCACATCCACTGAAGGAATTGAGGGTCTGAGATTCAGGCGAGGCCGATGCAGATGACCGCCCACCAGAGCCCCAGCAACCTCTCCTCCGACCATGTTGTCTTCTGCCAAAATTTGACCCAGTGACTGAACTGGACTCTCTCTCTCTGATTTTAAACCTTCCTCTGCAGCAATTCTCCTAGCAGTTTGCCAAGCTTCAAATGCAGCTCCACTAGTAGTTGAAAATGCACTTAAGTAAAAGATCACACGTTAGCTAAACATTCCTGAATCAATTGTAAGAGTAATCTACCTCATTAATTCATTCAATATATACCATATTAACAGAAGGCAAAATGCTCCGCTCCACTTGGAAATACGGGAATTGTTAATTCGCATTTAGATAAATCAGGGGATCAGAACATGGAAAACAGAGCGTACTGAACAATATCCTGTTGATGTACTGCATATGGAAAACAGAGCGTACAGAAGGCAAAATGCTCCGCTCCACTTGGAAATACGGTAATTGTTAATCCAGCTGCTATAAGCATCGACTTTCGTTGGGTCTCTCCGAGGTTTCGAAGGCGACGCGTTTGGAAACGAACAATGCCGATTCCGGAGACAACCCACATGAATTCACCAGATAAGAGACCGCGAAAGAAGGTAGACCCAAGGTGGTGGCGGTGGAGATCGATCCGAGAGTGGTGGTGGGCAAGAACAGGGCGCGGCGAAGTAGGGTTCTAGAGAGCGATCTGAACATGGGACTTATAGATTGACACACAACGGCGAGTACAATCACAATCTCAAGGCACACGTTCGATTCGACTGACCTCTCTCTTCTTCCTTCGCTCCCTCCCTCGCAGATTCGCCTTCGTTGAACTGAGAACTTCTGGTCACGAACCCTACTTCGCCGACTTGGTGATGCCAGCCGCAATCAGGGTGGCGCTGGCGGCGAAGACACCGATCGTCGCCACCCGTTGCCTTCGCGTCGCGCTACTCGATCGCCAGTTGCCGATCCGGAGCTTTGGAAGAAGATGATAGGGTTTCCGGCGCGCTTGGAACAAGAAGGACAAATGGCTCTTGTTTGTTTCGGGTGGGCTTGTTTCGGGTGGGTCGGGTAAATCCAAAATAAGTTTAAGCCTTATTTTTACCGTTATCCAAATAAGTCAAGGCCAACTCGACTCAATATGAAAATTCCCTATTTGCATCAAGTCGATTCGGATCGGGTCGAGCGGTACTTTTGACACCCCCAGCTCTAACCCCTCTTTCTTGTCGGAATAGTTCTTCTCCTCTTTTTATAAAGAAACACTTGAGAAACCCAGTTCATTTTCTGTTCTTGAACTATGTCCGAGTACAACATAAGGATTTTAGCGCTGATGTTGCTGCTCAGCGTCATAACAGTAACTTCATCAGCCGACCGGAGTCCAATAGGGCATCCCCATCGGTTCGAGAAACGGCTGCTGAAGGCGTTCTTCAAAGAATGCTTCCTTTCCATTCACACAGCTTCCAACTCAAGATCGTACCCAAGGTCTCCTTTTTTCATTACTCACGATGCATATCCATTTTGTTGCCTCAAGTCCTCTGGAACGAAAGTAGAAGCTGGGGGTCTGCTCTCTCCATTCATCGTCAAGCCGCAGCAATGAACTGAGGAAATGTGAAAATGTCTAGCCTTTTGGTGACCCTTATCAAGTCACTGCGCTTTTCTCATTTCCAATTTAGTGAAAGTTAAATCTTTAAGTAAATGGTAAGCTAGCCGGACCCAATTTATAGTTTCTTGGACGTTCTTTTAGGTGTCGATGAAATGGATTTTTTCCCTTCAGTGATGCCGTCAAAATTCCTATGTATCCCTCAGAGTTCAACTCGCTCTAGTGTATCGATGGTCTCGGTAAAAGTTACTTACTTGCGATGTTGGCATTGAACTGTCTTTAGCTTTTCCAGTTTAAGTACATATCTCTAGCTACTGTAGCCAAAAAAAGTGGTTCAAGTAATATCTTTCTTAGGGTATCTATTAGCAGTAACCATTAGCTGAACAGTGAAGATGCATGCTTTGTGCTCACCTTAAGAACATAGCATATGATCAGGTTAAGAAACTGTCGCTTTGCAAACTTTTTTACTCAAATGTCTTTCTGACACATGATAGTCATATGAGTGTAACTGTCAGTGGTTTGCGCTCACTTTCTTTCGGCTTGCCTATCAGGATGTTTGTGGTGGAAAGAACTGCTTTTTGATTGAAAATTACGGGGAGAATGATGGGCCTGAGATAATGTATGTAGTCATTGTTTTTGTCAAGTGGAGCAGCGTGCCTTTCATTTTTAATCGCGTGAAGGAGTATTACCCAGTCTTCGTTAGTGAGTTCTGCATTGTTGAAGCTCTTTTGTCTATTTCACTGCAGGATCAAAGGTACCACAGCAGTTGAATTAGCATCTGGCTTGCATTGGTACTTGAAGTATTGATGCGATGCTTATGTTTCCTGGGACAAGACTGGTAGCATACAGGTGGCTTCTGTTCCTAAGGCAGGATCCCTGCCTAGGCTGAAGGGCAAGGGTGTGATGATTTAGTGACCCGTCCCATGGAGCTATTATCAAAATGTCGTTACATCAAGTTGTAAGTTTTCTTCACCATGGGACATTGAGGCTTTGGCGATATTACTAGCAAGTCAGGTAGCTAGTTCGTCATGGTTGAGATAAGTGAGGCAAAAGCACCTAGGGTCCCTCTTGCATTTGGACATACTATCTATTGGACAGTGTTTGTTCTTCAAGGAGCTAATGACTTGATGTTATGCGATTCATCGTAGAGTCTTCTATCTGGTGGAATTGGAGTAGATGGGAAAAAGAGATCCTGGATCGCTTTGCAAGGAGTTCACCTACCATTGGCCTTTACTGGACAAGAAGCCATTTGGCAAAAAGTTTTCATGGTGACATTTCACATGATCCTGTATAAAATTGGTGACAAAGTAAAAGCAGTTCTTAGTGTTGATTTCGCCGTAACAACTCATACTGATTGGTAAATAAATAGATGAATTTACTAGCACATGACCGAGTGATCTGATGGCTATTTCCATTACCAGTCTGACATTCATCATCCAAAAAGAACATATTAAACGAAGTTGCCATAAGATGGTCTTGAAATGTTTCTCGTGTTTCTTTATAGCAAATTCATGTCATTTGTTTGTCTATTGCTATTGATTGATGAGTACACATTTGAAATTTAGCAGATGCCTTTTTGTACCCAATTTCCCAATACCTAGTCTAGAAAGTTATCGGCTTATGAATAGGTAATTGAGTTGGTGCTATTGTCTGGATCTTCAATTAATTAAAATTCGTGTTTCCTACTGTGTTCTGAGGTTGAGTCAGGTTATTGTTTCAGATTTTGTCCGTTATAGCCATGCCTGATAATGATAGGCTTATCTAGCTGATTTGTCCTATTTATTGTAGTAGCAAGGAAGGACTAGATGATTTTTTTGGCGGACCTGTGTTTCTTGCATTGGCTGGCATGGGAAATTTGCTTGGGTAGGTAGAGGAGATGTGATTTCTGCATCTTCTCTTTTTTTTCGATGATAATAACAGGAAAAGAATAGGGTAACTAGTTGAACAAATTTAGGAGTATTTTATATTAGATGGTTCTTTACACTATGTTTAATAACATGATTCTGCTAGCTAACTCATTGCTCTGCCTTGATGTGCAATATAATGCATTTTGTTCTTGCTTTGAAGGCTTTCTTTTCATCATCACAAGCATTTTGCTTCTAAGGTGTAATAATTTTTTCATCATAGGTGGGGTGACCCATTATCACAGAACTTGTTGGATCAACAGGTAACTTGCAGTAACAGATATTGTCCTGGAGGTCAACTCTTTTCCAGTTTAGAATTCTTGATAATCCAGGTATCCTTTCAGTGAGATTATCTACGATAGAGTTGTAGCAGGGAAAAGACAGAAAATTGCCATCAAAGGGACCTTTTAGTTAATGTCTATTGTCTATCTGTCTGATCATGCTGGTCATGAGACTCCTGATATGTATTGTTGTACTTTCAGTTCTTCCATCCTTCTCTGGGAATGTTCCAGAAGCATTGAAGAAGATACATTCTTCAGCTAATATAACTAGACTCGGGACTGGTATGGCTCTTTCTCTGTTTGTAATTTCTTAAGTGTTGACTTTGATGACCTTTTCACTCTTATATTGTCCTCCCATGCATCCCTTTTGTCTTCCTGCTTGGGTTCGATAAGTTCTTCATCTAGATGTAGTTTTTGTTAAGATGCTACACATGGCATTTTTTAATTTCCTTGTCAATTATAAGACTTGTAAAACAAATAGAGAAAAGGTCAAAGGCATTATTTTGTTTTACTACCTGGAAGAGGATAGTCAAGAAATTTGGTCGACAATATTTCTCAACGTCCAAGATATGATGTATCTGATACATGCTAGCAATAAAGAAATCTTATGCTATTCGGAATGTTCCTTACAATGCAAGAGATGCTCTTTGAGTGGCTACTCAGAGATGAATAAGATTGGTTACTTGGAAACTGAACTGAATTGCACTAGCATCTTCTGATGTGAGCTTTCATCCGCAACTAGTGCTTCAAATATTTCCGACTTTAAGATTTTGACATGGTATTTTCTACTGCCTAGTAGCAATTTATCCAGATTAATGAGCAATTTTGTCTCTAAGATTAATTTCTGGCAAAAACCATTGTTTCTTTCCTTCAGGACCATAATACAGATTTCATAGTAAAGTTTCCGGACTGGAATCCCTCAACAATCTCGGCATCTAGCTTTAGAAAGCAAGAGAAATGCTATTACCCTTTGATCCATCCCTTGATAGTAGAACTTTAATTCAAGTGACGGTCTCTGACTTTCCTCAGGCACATTTGTGGTATTCTACTCATGACGTGGTTGATGCTGGGAATCGTCCCAAGGAAAGTCTACCGTTTAGGTATAATCTCGGACATCGTTAAGCTTTGCTCTTTAAAATTTTCTCACCTTTCTACATAAGAGCGGATGACCCGGTAGAAGACCTAGGAAAATCACGATTGTCTTTTTGCTAGGTAGATTGAATTTGAAGAACTGCATTGCAAATATATGTAAATGAGCTTAAGAAAGAAAGGCAGAGCTGATTGGATTTAATTTTTCTCTTTAGCAGGGTCATGCTGATTTAGAAAGTTCATAAATGTTATTGTCAATTATTTGAATGGGAATCATATGATTGATGGGCAAGTCCACTTGAGAGTCTTCTAATCTCATGGGTCTACCAACTCGCTTTTCCTTTCCTTCTCCTTCCTCATCTCCTCCAACAAAGCCTTACTTGTGTCTATGCCTGTATCATCATTAGAGAGAACGTGTCACGAGCCACGTCTTAATTATCTCTATCAAGATATTCACTCGATTCTGGGAGGAAACTCGATTCTGGGAGGAAATTCATATACTACCTGCGAGGTATCCACCATGTACATAACCGCTGAATCTTTCGCTTGTGTGTTCACCAGTGAAAAAGATGCGTCCTACCGGGGCCTGAGAACATATAAAAAAAACCGGTTTCAGTTACACGTACAGTTAAAAGCTAATTCAGGAAAGAAGCGCTAGAGCTACCAAATTCATCGTTGTCTCGGAACAACAAAAAGAAAAAAAAAACTTAGTCCAGTTGCTTCTCTTAGGACATCGTAAAGGTAAGAGAATCTAAAGCCGCTAGAGATTTCACATAGAAATTAACCCCTAAAGGGAATGATTCAGAAAGACCTACATCTTTTGTCAAGCCATAAATAACAACTTGTCTAAGCTTGGATATCCAGAAGTAAGAATTACACTGATCAACATGTAAACACGAAAACAGGAACTACCGGGATTCGTAATATTTGAAGTAAGATAAGCACCTACCTTAATGCTTTGAACGACCTGATGATTAGATATGACGGGGTACTTGCTGTAGCTGCAACGCTGGAACTTGTCATTCGACCAGCGGGGCACGAGTATATCAGTGGCGTTAGGTATATTGGGCCCAAACATGTCCCTAAGCACCTCCATAGCCTCTTTCAGTGTTACTTCGTCAGATTGACTCTCCACACGCTTTGATTCTCCATTAGTCAATGTCACAACCAGAATATTGGAACCAGGGTATGCATCCTCCATGTGCTGATGACATGTCCAGAGATGAACAAAACAATCATCTTTATCAGATGAGTTTCCCTCGAAGCATTATGCAGTCGATTAAAAACATTGCTCGAGATTTCACATCAAAGCATACAGTATCGAAGGCCATATGTGGCAGATACAATTTACATCGTTTTCCCAATGGAAGTAATGGAGAAATTACTATCTTATGGGTTTGAAAACTGAATGCCGTACTTAGTATCAATACCTCATAATTAAACAAATTGGCTGCATTTGTAACGTAATTCCAGAGTGCAGCTAAGGAAATAGTCCAGTATACTACTTATTAACAAGACCAAACATGTTCACCTCATAATATTGAGCAAACAGTTTTTTACACTTTCTAAGACCCCTAGAGGATGACATCAATAAGCACTCAATTCCCCAGAGAGAGTAACTTTTAGGACCAAGAAAACTGGAAGAAGAAGAAGAAGAAAGAAAAACCAATAGCTGGCTGCAAAAGTTTTGTTCACAAACCTGCCAAAATGTGTAATAACCTCTCCGTTCGTGTGCATACATGAAGAACTCTTTCCCGGGTCCACAAGGCCAGAACTTTTCCGGAAACTTTAGGTAGATTTTCGTGTACACCGTCGCGTCGAGCTTCTCTATCGCCTCCATCTTCCATCTCTGTTGGGCATTATTTCACAAATCAGTGCAACACTTCATCGAACCAAGTAAAATGGGCAATCGATCAAACATCACTCAGCTTCTTTTGGGGACCACCAACTAAAGAGAAGCCGCAATCATAATTGTTGCTTAATCCTCTAGGCCTCATCATCAAAGAAGTAAATTTTCAAATGGACACGCATACTTGTAACTTTTATGTTTCATCCTAAAGAACAGCAAGTTTTTTGGCGCGGGATAACATCCCAGGATTCGTCAGTCCTGAATTCTTCCACGAGGAAAACGTTCTATTGGGAGTCAATGACACTAGGACGACAGTATAAGCAAGTGATCTTTTTGAGTGTGTTCACAGATTCATTCAATCAATCAAAAACAGCACTTTGCGCAGAAGTGTTTCCCAATAGTTATTAGAATCCTGTTAGGAACTTTCACCACATATTAATTGTAAGGCCCAATAATTCCGATTGTACTAATTTTGCATATTATTCACGTGATATCGGTGCACTCTATGGACATTTCAATTAGGGAAACAGAAAAGATAGTCAAAGAAATAAGAATGAAGGGAGATGTGTACGGGCATGGATGGCCGGAACGAGATCAGGTCACTCTTGAGAACCCCAATGCTAACGGACAAAATCGCGTAATTGGCATCATAGACGCAACCATCCTCCGTAGTAATAGTAACTCCGGTTCTCGAGTGTTGTATTTCCCGGACAACCTGCCCCAAATCCACGCGTGAATAGAACAGGCAAAAGTTAATAATCAAATTGAAGGCCCAAGAATCAGATACAATGGTATTGGCATCCAATAAAGATGGAAGAAGTTTATCGACATAACTGAATGAGAAAAAATGTGCAGTGGTCAGACGAAAAGATTCATTACCCTAGCGAGATTCGTTCATCCACAATCTGACGTTATAGAAAAAATTAAATTGTCCCTACTAATTTCCACCTATAGGGCACTAGTCATCGATTTTCTTCATTCTTGGTGCGTATGAATTTGAATAGGCAAGGAAACACCACATTAAATGGAGAAAATGACAACACTTCATATGTTCATGTTCTTCTATTTGAGCAGATTTGACGTCCCCAATTATTTACTTCTATAAGAGGTCATCAAATTCACTGTATACGATAATAAACAGGAGCCAGTTGGCCCAAGCCATTGCTTAATGAGTGGTATACAGTCTTCTTTTTCAAAATGAAATGTTGATAACATGGCATAGACGCAAAAAGGTTGCTTTACTTCTCAGACTAGAATCACGTGGACATGATAGCAATGGGAAAATTATTATCTACACTCAGTGCATTAAGGTCCAGCGCATACAATCCATTGGATCATATGAATCTCACATGAGATCCATGCACTCGACCTGCTGTTTTGAGTACAGGTAATTATGTCGCATAGCGGTGAGTATGGATGTTATAAGGATCCCGGTAGGATAAGAAAAATAGTCCTATGCTTAATGAGGTAGACCTGGGACTATAGTATGCAAAATGTATATAATATGGCATAAAAAAAAACCTTTGGTTATTGACAAACTCCAACGATGGGCCAATCAAATCTCTTAACAGCCAAGTGAGAAAACAGTACATCCACACAAAACAAAAGTTGGGCTTTTCTCCTTTTTTTTTTGTATATGGGTGAAATCACCAAATATCTTAAACTATCTCAGATGTAATACATTTATCTTAAAATTTTTCCATGATATTAAAAACCTCAAATTTGTAAGTCAATGAGAACCGTTAAAAAATAAGTAAAATAAAAACGATATTATTTTGGCTGAAAAATCATGTAACGGAACCTTTAGACATAGTTTAAGATTGTTGATGTTACATAAAAAATAGTTAATGAACGTTTTCCTTCCCTTTTATTAACAGGATAAACCATTCTCCGCCATTTTGTTTCCGTCTCCGATAATTGGACGATGAGAAAACAAAAAAAACAAAAAAAAAGAAAAGAAAAGAAGTAGGCATCATCTCATAAATAAGCAACAAAGACAAAAACAAAAAGGATAAAAGAGACATGTTGTTTAATTACCTTATTGAGCTGAAGACGGCTGTCCAAAATCTTGCCCTCGGACGTAACAAGAAAATCTTGCGCCATTTTGTGTACCAATTCCTCATATCCCCTCTCGTCCGCCACAAAGTATTCTCCTTCCCCATAGTCAAGGTAAGTCGGTATAGGCTGGGCCTCTGCCCAAGAAGAAAAACGAAATGGTAAAAACTTGTCGGCAATGCATACAACCTTTTTTGCTGCCAAATCTGAAGTTTCAACTGCACTAAAAAAAGCCGACTAACCGGGCATCTCGTAGTCGTGAAGCACGAAGTCGATGGCGAGCTCTAATGGCGTCTTCGCCGTCCTAAACATGCGCGAGAAGAAAGAGAATGAGATCACGCACGGCGGAAAAACAACGCCTCAAGGGCACGAAAGTTACGCGGGAGAGGGAATTTACGAAGGAGGCTCTGTCGCTCCGGTGAAGTCGCCATCGCCATCTGTTTCCTGCTGGTTTCCCGACTTCTCAGTAGCCGAGTCCACCGCCTTTCTGTACGAGTCGGCGCCGACTTCCCTCGGGAACACCTTCCCACTGAAACGAACGAACAAACTGCGTCAGCATCGAAACCGAACTCCGCTTGTGGATGGTGAAAAGGTATTGCTGAACTAATTATCTTCGCTTTTTGCTTAGATTCACGCTCGAAGAACGCCCGCAAGTGCGGAGAGCAAAGACAAGCTCACCGGCTCTCCGGCTGGAATGTGACATTATTGCTGACAACAGAAAAAACTCGAAAGGAAGGGAGAGGATCAGACCTGCGATCGTAGATGTTGTAGCGAGCATGACTGAAGTCGGAGAGGCACGTCCGGAGGGAAGACTTGGCGGCAAGCTCCCAAACGGGATTCGGCACCTTACCTCCCACGCCGACGATCCAGCCGGCGCCGAGCTCCACCGACACGCCTCCGAACGCTTCCTTGCGCATCCTGCCCCCGATTCGGTCCGTCGCCTCCAGTATGACGATGTCCTCCACGCCGTTCTCGGCCAGAACCCTGGCCGCGGCAATACCTGAAGAGACGTCCCACGAGGCCACGTACACGAAACATCATCAGAACTAGTCGCAACAGATATATACAACAACCCAAGTGCAGACACGCCGCGGTCGTGGCGGGGGACAGGTGGTTTCGTGCGTACCGGAGACGCCGGCGCCGACGATGATCACGGAGGAGCGAGACGGAGGATCCATGAAGGAGAATGAGAGAGAGATGCGTTACGTACTTTGGTTCGACGGGAAATGAAACAGGCGGGGATTTTAATCATGGCAGTGGAGGGCAGTGGAGGGCAGTTCGGTCATTTCGATGGGGGGCAGATTTGGAAATTTGCGGGGAAGTTTTATGGCAGGGTCGGCGTAATCTTTGCCCGTGCGGATTCGAGGGTCCACCGAGAGATTAGTGTCCTCCTAAATGCAGGGTCAGAGAGATAATCTCAAGATAATTTACCTTTTCAATGAGATTTTTTATTGGATTTTTTTACGTAATCAATCCAAGCATTAATATACCTAGTTAATGTAGCAGATTCATTGCTCCTTATGTGCTGGAAATTTCGAATAGGATTGATACTACAAAAAAGCCCCAAACCGATATACCCGTGAAAATTTATCCCAAACTAATTTTTTTATCACAAAAAATTCTTAACCGGTGACAAATTTATCCTCCGATAGTTTTCGTTAAATTTTACCATTAAATTTTTGAGTTGGATGACACGTGACAGTGACGGGTGTACTAATTTAGGGTTTTACCTTTCGTTTGTCATAGGTGTAACAGTTTGTGATTTTTCGTGATATTAATCCAATTTAACGGAGGGTAAATTTGTCACAAATATACCATTTTGGAGTTTTTGATGGTAAAAAAATTAGTTTTTGGTAAATTTGTCATGAGTGTATCGGTTTGAAATTTTTTGTGGTCAAAATATTAGTGTTAGGTAAATTTATCACATATGTACCAGTTTAGGATTTTTCGTGGTATTGACTCTTTCGAATTTTAAACACATAAGGAACAACAAATATCAATAATTTGAAAATCATATCTACTTTTTTAAAATTTTATTATTTTTTATTATTTAACAAAAATGAGTCAATGATATATATTTTCATCATCAATGATATTTTTCTGTGTATTTCATTAAACTATAAATGAGCCCATTTATATGCTTTTACAAAATGGATATCTATAGTAACATAATATTACAATCAATCGGAATAACAAGATTATGATCCGGAGAGAAACTCATAATAGAATAACGAGATTATGATATGAGAGATTATACAATATATTTCTAACAAGAACTATTTTGTATTATTCGCGTCCAATTTTTTAATAGGATATTAAGCATTTTCCACTAAGCAGAAACTTATTAATTCCTCTAATTTGTATCTCGTGGGTAAAAAGTAAGGCATGCCCTTCCTCCATGCCTCTGTAATCCTTTTGATAGATGACGATGTGACGATGGCTTGCTGCTCCGCCCCCAAAAAACCAACGGTAAGGATGGGTCCCTTCCTTACATGTCGTTTACCTCCCAAAGCAACAAAAAAAAAAAAAAAATAGAGAGAGATAATGACAAAAACAGTCATTAAACTTTAACTCAACATGCAATATAATCTCTCAACTTTTAATTTATTCAATGTAGTCCTTAAACATTAGCTTAATATTCAATGTTATCCATGAACTTTGGTATATGTTCAATGTGATCCTTAAACTATATGAAAATATTCAATTTTGTCCTTGAATTTGAATTAACGAAAGAACATTGAATAAATTAAAAGTTCAGGAATTATATTGCATATTGGGTTAAAGTTCAGGGACCATATTAAACAAATTAAAAGTTCATGGACTACATTGCATATTAAACCAAAATTTAGAGATTGTTTGTGTCATTTTTCAAAAAAAAAAAACAGAAGAAATTTAGTGAGCCTTCGTACTCTTCCGTCCTTCTATTACATTGAAGGAAAAGAAGATTTGGGCAGCTGTGTCATCATCATGTGTGAAAAAATCACATGGTCTCTGTTAGCAACGGGTCGACATGAGGGTCTGATGCGATGTGCATTCGATCCCTGATTTGAAGATTTGGCATGGAGTCCGCGGCGATCGTCATTGATGTTGTTGGGTGAAGGATAGAGCTGGCGTAAGTCTAATCAAGGTCGGCAATAAATATAATAACGATGCATAAGGATATGTTGTCGCTTTTAAGTGCGCCGTAGAGAAGCATCCGTATTGGAAATGATTTATGCCGCTATTGCAGATGATGAAAAATATCTTGTGTTGTGCCCTGTGCATGCTAAGTAGTTGAATTTCAATTGATTATCCGTACACGCGATAACAATATACTTAAAGTATATGTGACATGTTAGCTATACATCTAGTTTCATATATGTTGGCTCAGATATTCAAAATATACTTTTAAATTCAAGTGAGTGAATACAAATATAATTTGGGCAGTTTATCAAATAGATGAGTAGGAATAGAGAAACGATCGGGCAATTTGGCAATCCCACCTAATCAGGGATATATACCCTATAGGCTTGACTTTCCAATCGACAACCAGGCTAGATCACCACCTTCGCCTAGAGGCAAGATGGTTAGGCACTTCAAAGGCAAGATGCCCAAGTACTTCAACAGATAGCCAAACAAACTGCAGTGGTAATGCAGCGCATGGGAGATGGTGGAGGAGTTGTCGTGCCCATGATAGAAACCATACTCAGTTTGGGTCGATGCCTTTTCATATCCGAGAGGTTGTAAAATGCTTGATTTTTTAGTGTTCACTGGTGAAACGAGCAATCGATAGTGGAACACATTAGTCGGCCTGTGGCTCAATGCAGTGAGGCAAATAATGAGGATCATCTGAAACTAAGATTGTTCAAGCTATCTTTGTAAAAAACTGCATTTACTTGGTATACCAATTACCAATCAATTTGACTCATAATTGGGATGAAATGGAAGGACAATTTCATGCTCAATTTTATAGATCGGACCCCGAGGTAACTATCGCAAATTTGGCTGCGATTGAACAATAACAAGTCGGTAGACCAATACATAACTCAACTTAAAAAAATCGAGAAATCAATGTCTCACTTCGCTCATAGAAAGGGAGTTTACTGCATTGGCTTTCAGTGGTTTAAAATTTGCCTTGAGGGAATGATTCGAAGGCCATCCATTTAATGATTTATTCCAGTAGACATTGAGGGTGTCTAAGAACAAAAATCTTCTGAAAGAAAAAACACAAGAAGCCATATAAGGATTGCAAGCCGAGTGTGGCTTTGGTCGATGATTATGATTTGAATTCCAATGCGGAATCGGGTCATGAAAAAGAAGCAGAAATAGCCGTGGCTAAAATGAATCTAGACAAACCTTGCGTCTGTCAAGTTTTAAGGCCTACCATAGTAAAATAAGCTTTTATGCTAAGAACAAAGACATCCAGATTTTTTCGTTCGACGTGACCAAGAAGATGAAATATTTGATTCACTTCCGAAGGATCTTTATAAAATTAACGGAGGGCCAAATTATTCCGAATAGAAGAATTAGCAAAGAAGAAATATTGCAAATGACACGACTCATGAAGACATAATATACTTCTAATTATATTATTTTTAAACGAACTAGTCAGAAATATTACAATTGAGATTGATAAGAATAAAGTTAAAGTCATTTTAGGATTAACCGCACCGATGGCTAAGAAGCAATTACAGACGGTGATAAGAAAAATTAATTTTCTACCTCAGTTTATTGCTAATTTGTTGCTGAACAGCTGGTTACAGGACGAATTAGGAAAATGGCCTGTGGCTGATAGACGTTGGACAAGACCTTCTCCACAGGAACTGCAATATGAACCCAAATTAAAAATGAATAACAAATATGCAGTTAGAGACCTGAGGAAACTCCTTAAAAGTATGACGACTTTGCTTCTTTAATGACCTTAGTTTTTCTGCAAGTAAGATTCAAGAGGCACAACGAGCACCTGGTCTGCCATGTGAAAAGTAGACGGCAATTTCTCCTCCTCATGACCCCAAGAGTATGCAATCCATCAGAGAAAGAGGGAGAAAATGGAAAACTATCTCGGCCATCAATGAAGTTCAGTGAACAAGAAAGAAAATTTGTAAATTCATCAACAGGAAATCTTTCAAAAGAATGAAGTACCAACTACTAGAGGGCGTTGCCAATAAAACAACAATCTATAAATTGGGAATTTAGTGTTTCGTCTTCACACAAGAGAAAAAACCCGTTTTTAGTGAGAAATAGGTCTAGTCCCACTGGAAAATCTAGGTCTGAGCTCATATGTACATTTGCGTTAACTTAAACAGTACATCAACACATGCAAACTTGAAGATCAAATTCAAATCTTACGTTGTTGACAAATAGAGGAGGAGCTTATTGACCATTTGTTGTTGAAGTTGCTGAGGGCCAAAGTTCTGAGGAAGGTACATGGGAGGACCTAAGGTTGTTCCTTCTGGATCCCACCAACTGGCTCATCACAGTGTTAACATCTCTCTCTGCTCTGCTTCCACCTCCATCTTTCCCACAACAACAACCAATTTAATCTTGTCTCTTCTAACCTCTGATAAAAATCGAAGCTTTAACCGATCGATGATACTGGGAGTCCGTAGATAAATCGAGAAGTAAGGCAGATTCTGAGACAGTACAGGAAGTGAAAACGAGGGTTCCAAGGATTTAGGCGTGGCAACGATGTCTGATGAAGTAACCCAACTGGCCAATATAAAACTAGTAAAAAAAGAAAAAAAAGAAATAAGAACAGACAACGGGGAATCTCCAGTCAAACTCCCTTCTCAGAGGACGACCGGATGGTGATGATCCGATGATGCTCTGTCCTCTCTTTCTTGTCAGAACAGTTCTCTCTCTATACAGAAACACTTGAGAAACCCAATTCGTTTCTGTTCTTTAACCATGTCCGACTCCAACATGAAGATTTCGGCGCTGATATTGCTCCTCAGTGTGATAACAACAACTTCATCAGCGTCGTCGCCGGATGTCCTTGACTCTCTGCTCGCCCGACTGGAGTCCAAAAGGGCATCCCCATCGGTTCAAGAAACGGCGGCCGAAGGCGTTCTTAAGAGATTGCTTCCTTTCCATTCACGGAGCTTCCAATTCAAGATCGTACCCAAGGTCTCATCTTTTTCATTACGCACGATGCTTATCCAATTTATTGCTTCACGTCCTCAGGAACGAAGTAGAAGCTGAGCCTGTACTCTCTTGAGTTACTGTCAAGCCACAGCTAATGAACTGAGGAAATGTGAAAAAGTTCAGTCTTTTGGTGACCCTTACAAAGCACTTTTCTCATTTCCAATTCAGCGGAAGTAATAGCTTTAAGAAAATAGTAAGTTAGCCGGACCCAATTTATGGTGTCTTGACAATAGGGCGTTTTATGATGTGTTGATGAAGTGAATTTGTTCCCTTCAGTGATGGCGTCAAAATTCCCACGTTTGCCTCGGAGCACAATTCACTCTAGTGTATTGATGGTCTCCATAAAATCGACTTACGATGTTGGCAATGAACTGTCTTTAGATTTTTCAGCTTAAGAATATTTCTGTAGCTTCTGTAGCCTGTAATTGCTTTCATAAGCTATCTATTAGCAGTAACAATTAGTTGAACAGTGAAGATGCATGATTTGTGCTCACCTGAATTAGGGGTGAGCATGATGGACCGCCCGAACCGAAACCGGTCCGGACCGGACCGAACCGGCCGGTTTGGTCCGGTTCTCGAGAGTATCGGTCCGGTTCCCGGTTCCTAAAAGTGAACCGGTTTCCGGGCGGTCCGGTTCCCGGTTCTAGGGTGAGAACCGGACCGGACCGATAAATATATATATTTACTTTTTAAATTTTTTGAAGAAACAAAGAAAGCCTAATCTATCCCTCTTGCCTTTACCAATTTTTTTAAGGATTGGTTCCATTGGTTCAATTGGAAAATGGAATTGGTTCCATTGAAACGTGATTGGTTCCATTTGAAAATAGAAAAATAAATACATTTATTTATTTAAAATAGAAAACCTAATTTAAAAGTACGTGGTCGGTTCCATTGGAACCGGACCGGGAACCGCTCACCCCTAACCTGAATGACATAGCAAATGATCAGGTTAAGAAACTGTCCCTTTGCAAACTTTTTTACTCATTGTCTTCCTGACACATGAGAGTCACATGAGTGTAACTGTCAGTGGTTTGTGCTCACTTTCTTTCAGCTTTGCCTATCAGGATGTTTGTGGTGGAACGAACTGCTTTTTGATTGAAAATTACGAGGAGAATGATGGGCCTGAGATAATGTATGTAGTTATTGTTCTTGTCAAGTGGAGCATCGTGCCTTGTTGTTAGTTTGTGAGTTGTGCATTGTTGAAGCTCTTTTTATTTGTCTATTGCACTGCAGGATTAAAGGTACCACGGCAGTTGAATTAGCATCTGGCTTCCATTGGTACTTGAAGTATTGGTGTGATGCTCATGTTTCCTGGGGACAAGACTGGTGGCATACAGGTAGCTTCTGTTCCTAAGACAGGATCCATGCCTAGGCTGACGCACAAGGGTGTGATGATTCAGCGACCCGTCCCATGGAACTATTACCAAAATGTTGTTACATCAAGTTGTAAGTATTCTTCACCATGGGACATCGAGGCTTTGATGGTATTACTAATGGCAAGTCTAGTAGCTAGTTCGTTATTTTTGAGATAAGTGAAGCAAAAAAGTTTTTGATAGTTTTTCTGCTTCAAGGAGCTAATGACTTGATGTCGCATTATTCAACGTAGATTCTTATGTCTGGTGGAATTGGAGTAGATGGGAAAAAGAGATAGACTGGATGGCTTTGCAAGGAGTTAACCTACCATTGGCCTTTACTGGACAAGAAGCCATTTGGCCAAAAAGTTTTCATGGTAACATTTCAAATGATCCTGTATGAAATTGGTGACCAATGAAAAGCAGTTCTTACTGTTGATTTTGCCGTGAGGACTCATACTGATTGATAAATAAATAGATGAATTTACCAACACATGATCGAGTGATCTGATGACTATTTCCATTACCTATCTGACATTCATCATCCAAAAAGAAAATAATAAAATAAGTTTCCATAAGATGGTCTTGAAATGTTTCTCCTGTTTCTTTATGGCAAACTGATGTAATTTGTTTGTTTGTTGCTGTTGCTTGAGGAGTGCATATTTGAAATTTAGCAGATGCCTGTTTATACCCAATTTCCAATACATATTTGAGGTATTGACTTATGAATATGTAATTGAGTTGGTGCAATAGTCTGGATCTTCAATTAATTAACCTTTCGTGTTTGCAATTGCGATCTGAGGTTTAGTAAGTTGTTTGTTTCAGCTTTTGTCCAGTTATAGCCATGCCTGACCACTTATCTTGCTGATTTGTCCTCTTTTTTGTAGGATTTCAATATCAGCAAGGATGAACTAAATGACTTTTTTGGTGGACCTGCGTTTCTTGCATGGGCTCGCATGGGAAACTTGCATGGGTAGGTAGAGGAGTTGTAATTTCTGGATCTTCTCTCTTTCTTGGATGATGATAATGGAAAAGAATAGGGTAGCTAGTTGAATAAATTTAGGAGTATTTTATATTAAATGGTGCTTTAGACTACGTTTAATACTATGATTCTGCTAGCTAACTCATTGCTCCGCCTTGATGTGCAATATAATGCATTTTGTTCTAACTTTGAAGGCTTTTTTTCGTTATCACAAGCATTTGGCTTCTAAGGTGTAATAGTTATTTCTTCATAGGTGGGGTGGCCCATTATCACAGAACTGGTTGGATCAACAGCTAAACTTGCAGAAACAGATATTGTCTCGGATGTCAGAGCTAGGCATGGTTCCAGGTATGGAAGAATTCTTTTCAGTTTAGGATTCCTGATAATTCAGGTATCCTCTCAGTGGGATTATCTATGATAGAGTTGGAGCAGGGAAAAGACCGAAAATTGCCTGCAAAGGGACTTTTAGTTAATGTCTATTGTCTGTCTGTCTGATCATGCTGGTCATGCTGGTCATGAGACTCATGATATGTATTGGTGTTCTTTCAGTTCTTCCATCCTTCTCTGGGAATGTTCCGGAAGCATTGAAGAAGATACATCCTTCAGCTAATATAACTAGACTTGGGGACTGGTATGTCTATTTTTCTGTTTGTCATTTCTCAATTACTGAGTTTGGTGACCTTTTCGCTGTATTATGGTCCTCCCATGCGTCCCTTTTGGCTTCCCACTTGGGCTAGGTAAGTTCTTCATTTAGATATAGTTTTTGTGAAGATGCTACATATGGCATTTTTGAATTTTTTTTTTTTGCCAATTTAAACTATCTTGAAGAAACAACAAACCTTGCGCTTGCATCTGCACATGTTAACAGGCCTTTTGCTTATTATAGTTTTGCTTATATAGGAATACTGTTGATGGTAATCCAAAGTGGTGCTGTACCTACCTTCTTGATCCTTTTGATCCTTTATTTGTTGAAATTGGGGAGGCTTTTGTCAGCAGACAAATCAAAGGTGCAGTTCGAAAGTTCTTGTTTTTGTTTGCAGCATTAGCCTCGTGCAATTTTTATGTGTTGTTTCTCATCCTATACTCTGATGATCATATTGTGGTGACAACTTGGAAACATTTTACAAGTAATGGCTACTTTGTGCCTCTGATTGCATAGAATTACACATGGAGGCTGGGGGATTACATAGTAAGCCATAAAGCCCATCCCTTAGTATAGGGTGTGAAATAGAGACATAGGGAACTGGTCACCTGTACTTATGTTTATTTTTTTATATTCTCGGATTCTTCATTGCAAAAAGTTTTTCAGCCAGGGCTATATTCACTCTTTTTAGTTTATTGTCAGCTGATTTGACTACTCAATCTTGATTTAAGCATTTCATATCGTTTCTCATGCTAGACGAATGTGTAGGGGAAGTATGTTGTTTTATAAAATTAAGTGTGGCTCATTTTACCTTTCAATGTATTTTGTCTATAAAATTTTCTTTAAAAGAAACTAATTTTGCAGTTTCTCTTCTGTGTCTAGGTGATGCATTCCTTAAAGAGGAACTCTTTCTCTGTATCTTGGGCTTTTTAGTTAGATTATGTTGTGTCAACTGTTGAGTTTTGCTTTAAAGAGGGGAACCACTTGACGAATCTGATATCTTTTCAACAATTTCACTGGCATGCCGGATCATTGTGTTGTTCATGACTATATCCAGTCTAGTCTGCATTAGTAATTTCTCGCCAAAGATGCATGTGGTGTTCTGACCTCTATTATTTTTCACCACAGAGTATGGGGATGTGACAGACATCTATAACTGGTAATGTCTCACCTTTGGCTTTTATTGAACATTTACCACCCGCCTGGGTGGCGCTGCTGGAGCGCGCACTCTTCCTCTCGCAAAAGGTTGAGTGTTCGAATCCCGGGCGCCACAGGGTGACTTAACCGGTGGCACGTGTGTGGTGGCTAGCACGTGTCGCCCCCAGGGTTTACTCCCCGGCTGTCGGCCGTGCGGGGGTTCCCTGGGTTATCAAAAAAATAAAAAATAAAAAAAAGAAGTAT